TGTACAGTGTACTATATAAATAAAAAATCGCAAGAACTTCTCGTACAATTCTTAATTAATAGTTACTCGTAATGTTTTTAAAGTTCTTAAATTGCACTCTTCTAAATGAAGGCCTCGTGTAATTATCAGAAGTTTTAAAACATCACTCGTACCTATTAATAGCAGTTATTATGGATTCATGCAAATGAGATGCAAAAGAGACAACAATAGACAACTGTAATAACAGCTATTACGAATTGCATTCGAGGTCACTCGATTTTCTATGCTTACTAACGATTGCGCAGACACATAAATACAACTCAAACAAAGAATTTGATTCTCTAGAGAATGACACGTCAGAAATGGGAAAACTTTACGCCCAAGCTGATTTGCAACACTAGAATAACAAAGTTTAAAAGAAAGCATGAGTGTTAATCAGGTTCTCTCATCAAATCAGCGGTTGACGTTACTCTACGTTCTTTAACTGTAATGCATGGTCTGCATGTTCTTATAAGCAATGAAACAGAACTAGCTAGAGTTTAAGCCCTGATGCACCACAGGTAGCCCAAACATTTCGCCATTCGTACTGTCAATCTTATACTACTGTAAACATGACTCCAATGATTTAATTTTTTTTATTTGTTTCCATGGTAACATAACAGGATCATCGTCAGCAGCGAGGTCGTTTTTCGAAAGCGGACCCAAAACGACATTCACAAAGCAAAAGGAAACAGAAGAAATTCTATCTGATTCTGGACTCGCGCGYAACACACGCGCGCGCTTCGAGAAGGGTGAGGTAATTGGCGCCGAAGGTAGTCCGAGGACACAGAAGGATGACTTGCCAACTCAAGGCAGCGCAAGTGGAGCCAAGGCAGCGTTCGAGGCAGCATCAGCTGAAAGGACCTACAAGAAAACAACTGACATCGAGAAAGAAATGGAGATGATTTCTCAGGCACTCCAGAATCCTAATCGCTTTGATTACGACGATGAAGAAGACGCTAAAGTTGATAGGAAACTTGTTGATGATGAGTTGAAAGCTACAGCTGGGAAAGCAGCTGAAGCCAGGTAAGAAAATTGTTTTTTTTTTCTGAACTAACCCAGCATTTGAAGTTTCGCATTTGACTCATTCTTACTCCAACACACACTGCCACTGCTTTCAATAAGTTATACAACTCTCAACTCACATGTTGACTTTTACGGAGAAAATCGAGAACCGGAGATATCGCTGATAAATTGATTTTATATGTATCAGAAAACGAATCGAAAAAGGAGAATTCGAGACACATCAACACAGAACAATAGATGAAGAAGAACTACAAGCCGCACATGGTAAGATTTATGGCTGAAGAATAATGTTAATTAGAACCACATACATCGATAATTGTAATTCCCTCTCCTAGTATGCAAACAGATGGCTTGACGCATGCGCAGTGGATTTGAGCTGTCGTCATTTCAGCTATTTTTAAGATTAAATTTTGGAATTATCTCGTAGAATTGTGGGGTTGAATTCCGGAAGACGGATTAACAAGAAAAAGGACCTTATTTGTCTGGGTGTAATATTTTCCACTATGCGTTATTGTTTAATGCGTATAAGAAGACACATGAATATGGATACAGCTCAAACAAAGATTGTTATTCTCAAGGGAACGACACGTGGCCTGAAATGGGAAAACTTTACGCCCAAGCTAAAGAGGTCTATCAAGGCACGGACACACGGTGCAACATTGCGCGCAGCATTGCAGGCTGCGGTTCATTGAAGTTTTCTACTTCAGCAACGTTGCGTGGAACAAATTGCGTCGTGTGTCATGGCTCGCAACATCAATTGCATGCAACATTGCGCTCAAAGTTGCACCGTTTGTCCGTAGCTTTAGGGATATAGATCTGTATCTGTCTTGCCCTTTTAATGACTTACGGGTATTTTCTTTAAGGTGTTCATGTTAATTATTGTCTATAATTTGTGTTCTCTAATCCAGGATTGGCGCAAGATAAGAAATCACTTTTTGAAAGCGGACAGCTAAACAAACAAGCAAAAAAGACAATCGATGAGGAAGATTTGCCAGTGTCAAGAGGAATCGCTATGAACACAAAAAGTCAAATCGAGCAAGGTAGCTTGGTTCGAAAGCCAAAGAAAATGATTGAAGAAGAAGAACTACCATCGTCCAAGGGGATTGCGATGGAACAGAAAAGATTGATTGACAGCGGCCATTATATCCAAGCTGGTCACAAAACCATTGAAGATGAGGACCTTCCCCAAGCCACTGGTGCAGCGCAGCACCAGAAGACTCTTTTTGAAAAGGGGGTCTATGAGCATGCGCCAAAAAGGACCGTTGACGAAGAGGAATTAGCGGTTGCACATGGGTCTGCTAGAGAACAGAGGATGTTGTTTGAGAAAGGAGTTCAGGAACACTCTACGAGGAGAACTATAGACGAAGAAGAGCTGCAATACTCCCGAGGAGCTGCAAGTGAACAAAGAAAGTTGTTTGAGCAAGGAGTCCCCGAACACAAAACGAAAAAGACACTCAATGAAGAAGAACTTGCATATGCTAGTGGGAACGCGAGTGAACAGCGTCGACTATTTGAAGAAGGGGGTGCATTTGAACGATCACCCAAGAAGACCATGGATGACGATGAGGAACTAGCTGCTGCTCGAGGAGCCGCCCAGGAACAAAGGAGAATCTTCGAGGAGGGTCATCTTGTGAGTAAGCCAAAAAAGTACATCGAGGAAGAGGAATTTCCCGGATCAATGACAGCTCAGCGATCGGCTGCCGAGAAGAATGGCGAAGAATTTGGGTAGGGATTCCACGTTCTTGTATTGCCTGAGGGTGTGAAATATAGTCACTAATAATACACTCAACAAAATTATTCTGATTCTGATTGGACAAGAGTTGTACAATTGAATCCCAAAATGTATTCTGTAGAGTCCTAATTATTTTGCTCAATTTTTTTGAGTGTATTATAAACAAAAAATCGCACAATCTTCTCGTGCAATTCTGAACTTATAGATACTCGTGATGTTTTGCCTCAAGGCTCGTCCAATTTTGAAAACTTTCAAACACCACTCGTACCTATAAATTCCGAATTGTACTCGAGATCGTGCGATTTCCTATACCAATTGTTGCATTTTTCAGAAATGAACCCGAGGAATCAACCGCGAAAAAATCAGTGGAAGAAGAACTTTCCCAAATCCGAGGAGCAACAAGCGAGCAGCGAAGACTATTTGAACAAGGAAATTTTCAAAAAGGTACAACGAAGAAAACCATCGATGATGAAGACATGTCCTTCGCTAGTAGCAACGCGGCACTCGAGCAAAAGAGACTGTTCGAACAAGGTCATCACGAGAGTAAGGTCAAGAAGTATTTGGACGAGGAAGAGTTCCCTGTTAGCATGACTGGTCGAACGGTCGAAGTTGAACAAGACGAGGAACCCGCTAGATACGTGTCATCCGATGCAAAGCCTGGTGAAATACCATCCAAGTATGTGCATCATAGAAAAATGAAATAACATGTTTATTTTCTTTAGGATTATTGGGGTGCAACCACGTGACTCAAAATCCCTTGAGATATAAATAGCAATGAAACAGCCGCCATGTTGGTTGATCTAACAAGTTAAAACAAGCTAATGAAAAATGTTTTGTTATTGTCAACCAACATGGCGGCTATGACATAACATGCACCCCAAGAATAGAATAGTCTTTTTCTTTTTCAGCGCATTGTTTTTTTAATTTGTGTAGATCAGTGTGGGCTTGGATATGTTTTTCTTTATTTTCTATCGAGTCTTTTGGCTTTGGAATTCAAAGATTAGTCACACTGCGACATTCTTTACAAATGGGTAGTTTGCAGTCATTTTCAAGCGAGTGGTAAAAGACATGTCTTTCATGTTGGATGGTATAATAGACCTGATGAGGCAATGGTTTCCTATTACGGTCAGACCACGTGTCATTCCCTAGAATATCATTTCTTTGTTTAACGGTTGCGCATGAGAAGACACATGAATATGGATGCAAACTCAATCAAATATTCTTATTCTCGAGAGAATGACACGTGGTCCGTAATGGTAAAACATTGCAATACAACGAATTGGGTCTGTTAGAGAGCCTAATAAGAACTTTGTTAGATTTAACCAAGACGAAAAACAAAATCTGAAGCGATTGGCTGGTAGCATGTTAGCATGTTTGCATGATCTTGCACCTTAAGCAATCTTTTTTTGCAAATTGATTAGCACCAGTTGCTCATTATGTAGTTATCCATTGCAATTGATACCTCTATTAATACTCCTTATACCCCTTACTAATAAGCTGGATGGCATTTCATAAACGGACAGCTAGTTGCCCGGTTCCCGCGAAAGTTTCTTTCCATATTTGCTATGAAAACTCTATTCAGCGGACACCATTTATTAGGGAACACTAGACAAGGTCTACTAGACGAATCCAGGTACCACCATAAATTTCAACACGAAAGAAAATGAATGAAGTATTTTGCGTCGTTTTACCACACGACGCAACCGTACAAATAGGCCGTTTGCAACAAACAGTCACGTGCTGTTATATCACTTTCAAAACGAATAAATTGCACTAAAGGTCCCTTGGAGGAGGCTCTGCTGCTGGATGGCAAAAGAACTAATATAATACTCCCATTTCGAGTTCGCCTTTGCTCAGTCTTAGCCTCGATTGTGTACAAATGTGTTCTTTTCTTTCATTAAGGTCCATTGTATAGTAAGGAATGTACGAAATACGGAACAATACGAGTTGATTAAAATGCCACGGGTTTTGGATTAACCGAGGCTGAGCAAAGAGAGCTCGAAACTGGAGTATTGCACAAATTGTCTTCACCTCACTATAGATTTATAGGGTCATCTCACCATCTTCTATTTCAGATTCACTTCCGTGAATGGCACAGAGGAAACGCATGATCAAGATGGTTCCGTGTCCATCTCAGTCACAAGTACACAAATCACTGCAGATAATGAATAACACAAAATAATCTCTTATAGCATTTCTAGGCATGCTAGACTCTGTCTCTATCTGCACTAGATCTTTAAAACAAATTATTATGCAAAAGGTGCATCTTTTATTCAAAGTTGCTATTTTTAGACGGTTTTTAAAGCATGTTTCAGCATGTTTCAGAGAAAGATCCTACCTTACCAAAGTCTTTCACGTCTGATTTCGTTTAAGTTTCGTTTCTAAAATCAATAGGACCTCTTACTTTGGATGCCATGTTTTCCCATTCCTGATATCGTTCCATTCTATTGGGTGTAATTTTTTTGTTTACGAATAATTCAGTCTTAAAGTAAAAGTTTATATTTTGTAATAAGAATTTTATTGTATTTTGAAGATATTGATAAATTGTTGATGTGCACGCACGCATGTTAGCACGAAAAAAATTAGCCAATTATTCATTTCTAGCTTGCAAGACTTCTATTTTTAGCAACCAGGACACTTCATGTCAAATCAGTACCTTCTGATACTAGTCAGATACCTGCATGAATAATAGCAATTGGAAGCACGCACACTAAGCTTAATTTTGTCATAGCAGCAGGATTCTTTGTGTTGACAGGCTGTGGGCATCCCTTTGTGCATCCCTTTCCATGAAATTCAAAAGACATGTTCCGCACCATGTTTGTTTATGTTCATGGCTTTGGATCTAACGAAATATCAAGTCAATCCCTTTATTCCTTGATCTTGTAGCAATGATAACATGAGGTTGCTGTTTGCTTTAATCCAGTACCTAGTAGAATAAAACAAAATTAATTATATTATTTTTCAATAAGAAAATAGAGAATCAGAAGTGTCAAACACAATGTATCACTGAGCAATGGAAATCATATAAAAATAACTAAAAACACACGAACTGTTGTCGTTCTTGTTGTACTTATCCTTGTCAGAAAAATGACAACCAAACTTAAAGCTTATAAAGAAATTTAAGAAAGCTGACATCGATGAAGCCGACTTTAAATAGAAAATTTAAAAAGTGACTAGGATTCGCGGTTTCGGGAACAAATATCAAAAATATACCATTGGCCTTCTTGTGTCAGCAATGAGGTTATCTAGGCTTATGTGTTGGGATGTACTTTGTCTTTTTGAATCAATGTTTTCTCATCTCCACCTCAAAGACGCGAAACTAGACAAAGAGTATATGGGAATGTTTTGAAAGTAGAGTTTGTTAAGGTTCTTTTACTCAATCGTAAATTTGTGAATATTTGTGTCACTGAAGTTAAATGATACTACCCTTGAGTGAACGAATCTGTAATCAAAGACAATGTGCAAAGGTATTTCAATTTTACGACTTCGAAAAAGTATATTCCAGTTAATCCAAGCGCTCACGTGTAAGGGCTAACAATTCCCAATTATACAGTATATTTTTAGAGCAAAGGCAGCACCTTCTACTCAGATATTTTAAGACTCTGAGGCATGTATCACGTACTTATCGAAAGCGTATTTTCCCCCCCTAAAGTTGCGGATTGGCCTTCCAACCTCACACGTATCCGGCTGTTGAATACGCCACTTGAAACCGCAACTATTCGAAAAGGGACACGTTTGGGCGCGCGAAAACAATTCAAAAACGCTACGTGTGGATGAGTATTTTTTTCGAAAACGTAATAAAAACTTTTATAAATTTATTTATTTGCGATCTCTTCAGTGAGTCCAGTTCAGGAGGCCTGTGCAAATGACAATAACAGTCATTGATGAGTCGCATATTGCATCCAGGCAAGGGCTTCAACATGTAACACCCCGCCCTCCGAACATAAACTTTAGGAATTTTGAGCAAATAAACCCAGTGTCGTGTTTTCGGAATTTAACGGTATTTGCATGTGTTCGTTGATTTTCCCTAGACTAACATTTAAGGGAAATGAAAATCTTTAATGTTCGACCGAGCCTAAAGCTGCAATGGCACGTTTTCCGTTTCTCCCAGAGCGTACGTGACACTTAAAATGTTTCGTAATGATTTTTCTTTTCTCCAGTGTGTTATCATGCATGCAGGGGTACCGGATCAATAACCCCAAGCTATTCAATTCTTGCAGAGTTGGTCTTAGCTAGCTAAGCCTAATCAACTGTGTGAAGATTAATCATGTGTCACAATCCCTGAAATAATGCATTACCTCTAATAGGTACCTAATCAATATCAATTTGATAGCTAAAAATGCGAAGATTTAGAGATTAGAGAAAAAAGAAATACAAAATAGCAAAAAAAAAAACACTTTAGGATAGAGAAGCTGATACCGAAATGGTATATGGAAAGTACGTTAATTAGATGTATCTAGTGGCCTACTTGAATCGAACTCTCAAACGGTTTGAGAGCTCGATCTTTAACTGTGCGAAACGAAGGCGCGAGACACCCCACATCACCACGGGCTTATGGTTTCGTATTTAAGCAAGAATATTACATTTCGGCTCATTGACAACTTACGACGTTCTAGAGTGCAAACAATATATATCCGTAAAATATCACAAATAAAATAGCACAATTTCATGCAAATTCCATTGTTTTCTATTTAGTAATTAGTGTTTCACGGATTAACTGTGGTCACTACAGTGCGGTGTACGAGACAAATCTTGACCCACCCACCACCCCTTCGGCGACGTTTTTTCGCATGCTCCTCTCACTCTGCTCCTTTATCGTCTCGGTAAAATTTCTTTTCCCATAAATTAGACAGGCAGGGGCGATGATAGGCTATATTAACGGTGAAAATGATATACTATTCCTGCCTGGAAATAGATTAGCCCAGAAGATCTTTCAGGATATCTATTATTTTGAAGTTTTTTTAAAGGTTTTTGAAATGAAAGATAAAATAGAGAGAGAAAGCTTATTGATATTAAGATTTCTTGTCTTTTATTTTTCAAGTTCAATCACGTTCAGGTTCATACGTGAGCCACAAATGGTGGGTCGTTTTATCTTACTGTTAGCCCATCCACTATCATGGTGAAGCCAAGCTGTGAATTCAGAATTGTATCATTCTATCGTATCCACATCCAGGAGTCTAGAAAATTAATGAATATGCACTTTTTTCTTATCTGGAGTGACCTGGAGTGAAATCACTAGTTTAAAAAACTCATAAACTCGTAAACTCATTTTGGCGACCCGGCTTTGTTTATTCCATCAATGTCAACAAATTACCATAAGTGGAGCACATAATTCTGTCGTAAACCAGTAATTTATCTTGACTATTATCAAACTTGATTTTTGCTTTGCTAATAAGATAAGCTCTCAGTCGTGCAAAAGTTATGTATATACAAAACATTTTTGAGATCAGATCTTTCTGGTTCAGTTAGATAGCCTATACCTTGCATTGGCATCTTTTAGTGAAGATGTTTCCAAGTGATGGCACTGCAAATTAACATCTGACTGTAACTTCTGTAACTTTTCTCATGTTTTTTTTTTTTTTTTTTTACGAATAAGTTATATTATATCTCATTTCATGGGAGCATCATTAGGCCGATATTCAATTCGCCCCCCAGCATGCAAAACAAGTTTAGGCTCGTGTTTATGCAACGTTAACAATAAAAATCAAAATAAAATCGCCAAAGTTTTCTACATTGCACTCGACAATTATTACGAATAAATATCGCAAATGAAAAGATCGATTCTTTGGTTTCGAAGAAGTTTATTTCCTTAAATTTTAGGATATTTTACGATATTTCAAGGTTAGTTAAATTCCATGGTGTGAGATTCCATTGTTTTATATTTATAACTGAACAAACCATCTGCGAACTGATGACTTCGCATTCTTATCGCCTGCAAGGTTTGCAGAATTTGGCCTAGGATTCCCCTAGAGTACATTTGCAAAAACATATCCTTTTCTTACAATAACTGATAAAACGCCATCGTTAAATCAGGAAAACCCGAAAAAAACTAAAATACAACCATAAGTATATGATAAACTGTACACTTATTTATTTTCTATTATCATTACTACAATTTAGCAATATTTATTTTGGACTCTCGTACATTTAAAATGCAGTTTGCTTTAACAGTAATTTAAATATTTGCGAAAACATTTAGCACCTTATATAAGAATTTAATAAGAATTGTTTCGAAGTCGTATGTATAAATTTCAAATACAAATCTAATTAAAATGGTCTTTGGCGATCAATATACTTGCTTCAAATTTACTTAAAATCTAAATTCTTCTGGTTTTTGGGGTTATTTGAAAGCTTTGTAGTCAGTGCTAAGCATTTTAAATGACTGGTTAAAATTAAAAGTGAAATTCTCTTAACCACAGAAGCAGAGCGTCACGGAAAACCAAAATCTCAAATACTGAAAAATTCTTATTAGATTTTCAAATATTTCCAAGGTAAAATATGTATAATTTATTATTTTTCGAGGTTCATGCCGAGATAAAAGAAAAATTGGTTGAGAATATTAACAATTAAAGTCAGTAGAAAAGCCTTAGTGTATGAATATTGTGGATGATTATATTCTGCCAAATCTTCACTGAAAAGTCCATGTAGTATGCTGGTTTTGGAGGAGAAGATTCAGAAACTTATAAAAACCCATTTTTGGAATCCTTTCTTCTTCTCGATGCCTCAAGCATCAACTTGAAGCACTCTTGGTGTCCTTTTTCCCAGGCTAAAAACATGGGTGTTTTTGCTTGCTTGTCTGCAAAGTTTACATCTGCTCCTCGTTCTATTAGCAACTCTATGCTTTCTTTATGTCCATTTGAAGCTGCTTTATGTAGCGGGGTTTGCCCAGATGAACTTGGCTTGTTTATATACGACGGATCTTTGTCCAAAAGTGTTTGTAACTCGGTGACAGAGTTATCCGAAGCAGCAGCAAGTAGAAGAGCATACTTCGAAAACGTGACGTGCCTTCCAGCAACTGGTGACGAGGCTGCCGAATCGCCAGAATCTGATGATGCCAGCGAACTGTCTCTTCGTAAAGCCGGTTTCAGTTGAAAACTCTGACTTCGTTGAATGTTTCGAATTCGCTGAACTTTAATGTGACTTGGAGAGCTTAACCGCCGCCTGAATAAACTTCCACTCATTGGGCTTCCTGTCGGAGTCAAGCGAACGTCTTTGTGTTCGATAGTCGAAGACGTAATAGAGTCATTAGAAAAGGAATAACTCGAGTTGAGATTCAATTCTGAAGACGCTTTTCTCAGGCTTTCGCTGTTCATGATCTTCAGTGGGTCCTTTCGAAGGAGAAGAGTGAGAACATGCTCCTTTATCTTGCTTATCGTAGTTCTACGTTCTTTCCAACTTTCTTCAAGCATTTTTCAAACTGTTATGTAATCTCTAGATTTATAGTTTCCTTAAAGTCGTTTACGAAATTTTCTTGCGTAAGCCGGTTTTTATGTTGGTGGGCGCTTGGAGTTCCGTGCTTCGCGGTGTGTTTGGGAGTTTAGGGTTCACTGAGCGTAGTCACTGGATATGAGAAGTTTCTACTGATTATTGACATGTTAAAATATTTATGATATGACTTATGCAAAAGAGTTTCAAAAAGTTTGCATAATTAACTCTGCCCACATGTTGAGAACAATGTCGCCACACTACTTCAAAACCTTTAGCTTCCAAGCCAAGAAATATGATAAAAATGGTCTGTCAAATGAAAGAAGAGAGTTCTTTTTAAATTACTAATATTTTTCCAACATACTAGACTAAGTTTGAGAAACTATTGTTCAAAGTTTTGACGCGTCGTAGCATGTCCTTAAAGCTTCATTAGTTCCGTGGTAGAACACTAAGAAACTTTGAGGATTTCACGATAGCTTATTTAAATTTCAAATGGCCTTCCGGAAGTAATTATTCGAGTGCGAAGGAGTTAAACTCAGCTCACCCGCGGGCATTCCCATATTTGGATGAAATAATGCCAAGACGTTCTGAACAGCACATACAGCTTTAGGTACGTAACTGAGTTATACTGTCGATAAACATCATTATTTTAGATGGTTCAGTTGCTAATACTATACATAGACATGTCTTGTGGTGTTCAGATATCAATAATGTGACTTTTATTATGGTACTGTGATTTTAAAAATATGTTTTCCATTTATTCATTGACTTTTTACTTTATTATTCTTTCTCAAGCAATTTTTTTATTAGTTCTTACGCCTTCTTTCTTTCTTTCTTTCTTTCTTTCTTTCTTTCTTTCTTTCTTTCTTTCTTTCTTTCTCTCGTCATAGACTTTGAACAGAATGGTGGGATATTCAGCTGCAAAACCGGAAGTCTTTTAGCGCAACCAGATCCCGTTGCGTTGGCTAAATTTGCCAACAGAATTGATATATTTACTGCCTCGCGCACGTCTCTTGACATGTTTTTCTTTCCTTCCCACTTCTCTATCGAGATCACATATCGAATCCCATTTAGATAAAGATAACAACAAGTTATCCCTTCCTCTAAATGTAGTAAAGGAGAATCCCCATATCGTATACCACATAAACAAGTCTCTCTTTTTCCTTCCAACTACATCCCTCCCGGCTTGTCATAATCTAATATAGTAATTGTCATCGTTTGTCTGTTTGTCTTCCTTTGATCACATTTTAGTTTCCGCCTACATGTTTTTCCCTCAACCAAATGTCTCTATCGCTATAAAACAATATTCCAGTAGGCGTAACTGACAGCCTATTAAGATAAGGTTTATTAAGTAAAGTGCATTTGTCGTAAGCCCCCGTAAAACCGCGCGCAAATTGAAGCCGCTCTGATCCCCCCTGTGGAGGTGGCTGTGACTTGGTTAAAAAGTTAAAACAGATCTGATGTGATATTGTACTTCCATCAATCATTAGATATGAATTTAGTAACTTAACTGGCATTTTCTTCCTCTTCCTTCGATTAATTTATTGTCGAAGTTCGAAAGGATGTTGTGGTTCTGTGGATCCGCATTCGAGTCAGTGTTCATTAGTGAAGGTATGTTTTGTATTAAGGGAGGAGGAGCTAGGCCCGGGGCTTCAGAAAGGAGGGTCTTCAGTCAAAATATTGCTTTTGGGAAGGATCAAACCTTTTTATTTTGACGAAAGCTAGGGGAGAGTTGACTTAAATACGAGTGTCATGAATTTCTTACTGAGTGAAAGGAGGAGGGCTGCAAGCATTAAAAAAAGTTACGGTTAATTTGCTTTTACTACTCCAGCTCCTGAAGTTTTCTTTTCATTTTTTCCATGATTATCCTCTCCCCTTCCTCATGCACGAAACCGTTGCACGATTCAGCCTATGATCATTCCATCCATCCATCCATCCATCCATCCATCCATCCATCCATCCATCCATCCATCCATCCATCCATCCATCCATCCATCCATC